GACGCCACCTAGCGGCGATCGACCAGTTGGAGCCCCATGTCCTAGCATATCAAAGGAATTTAGAAGGTTCAATCTAGTTTCCAATAACTGTGGGGCTATTAGCATTTAAAAAAAAAGCCTGAGAGTAGCCATAGGATGACCATGTGTGAGAAGTACAATGCTGGGGTAGGATGATGCTATCTTTAGTCTGACTGAATCTAATTGTACTCAAAACTGATAAATGAGTATCTAAAATGGGAAAGAGCGCCAACTTCTCTCACCTTGATGAATTTAATGAGCAGCTTGATGCTGCTGATGAGATCAGTTGGACTGAGGGGGCCTTCTTCATCCAAACCAATCTTGTGAGTACAAAATCCACTTCATGTAGCCTGAACGAATCTTGTCACCCTGTCACAGGGTGTCATTTTCACTCCACAAACCTCAGATCTAAATGCTACTGACATAAACTCTAACCAGAAAATGCATCACAAAGGAATCATGTGCCCATTGCTCCTTGTGGCTTAGGAGAAAAAAGCTAACATGTTCCTGATTATCTGACATGTTGCCTGACACAGAAAAAAGGTTTCAGTCTGTGTTGATTTAGCTGATATAATGTCACTAAGTTGGCATCAGCTCCACATGTTAGAGAGAGAAAAATTGGGCACAGTTCCCACTTCTGAAATTGGGCCCTCCATTGACTATTAGAGGTTCACTAGTGTGGATGTGAGGTGCAAGCTGGAGCAGGCCTGACTATGATGCCTCCAGGATCAAATAGTCTGCTGACACTCATTGTCAAGGTTCACTTGGGTAAGATACTGGAGAGCACCCAAAATCCTTGGACCCACGCTCAATTAGAGCAAAAAAAGCAGGCAAGTACCTTCACAAATGGAGGGCAGAGAAGAAGAGGCGTCTTCTATTTATTATAAAGAAAATCATCTTTGATGACATGAAACTCTCTAAAAATGGAACTTCAAAACAAATGGATAAATAATATATCAGGCAGTAGAATATGATATTATCTACCGAATCTACTCGCAAAAAGCTCTTGAATTCCAATCGAAAAATGTGTAAATAGTTGATGTTTACCAACCTCAATATTAATGCCCGATTGATTCTATTGATGGCTGATCTACTTCCTGACATTTGTCTATGACTGAATACCTGGCATTACTCTATAGGGCTACAACCATGCACAGGATGGAAAAGGCAGTGGAATAAATATGATAAATTCTATATCTCGCTCAGCTTTCACTCACCTCCACAATATTGACTGCTTCTGCTGCTACCTTTGCTCAGACCCTTATTCATGTCTTCATCACATCCAGACTTGATCATTTAAAAACCTGCCTGATGGGATTCCACAGCTCCTCCCCAAACAAGCTGTACAGTCCATCCAGAATTCGGCAAACAGAGTCCTCTCTTGTAGCAAGCTCTGTGAGCTCCATCACACCCGTCCTCACTCGATTCCACTGACACTCCATCCTTCCGCAGATCAAATTCAAGATCCTCATCCTCACACTCGATACCCTCTGCAGCCTCATCCCACTCTACCTCTGCAACCTCCACAACTCTACCAACTTGGCCACTTCCTGTTAAGCCAACTATGACCTTCTTCATGTCTTCCACCCAATCTGCCCTACCATTGACAGGCGAGCTTTCAGCCATTCTGCCTCTAATCTTTGGAATTCCATTCTGGAGCCCCTCCGCCTTGCCCCCTCTATCTCCACTTTTAAAACCCACTTCAAGACCCACTTCTTTGATTGTGCTTTTGATCATCATTACCCCTGCCCCAAACCTACTCATTCAACTTACCTGTAGCTCGGCTGCTAGTCAGCTCTGTGAAGTACTTTGAGATGTTCCTCTGATATGAAAGGCACAATATAAATGTACATTGTTGTTGTTGTTGTTGCACATGCAGTAAGCCTTAAAGTTGAATGCTAAATAGAACTAAAAATTGTTACCATTTCATTATTAGAGAAGGAAAACAAATATTGAGTCACTGTTAGAAAATATAAATGCCCAGGCACATCTTACAATGTTGGAATTTTAATTGAAATACAATGATGCAAATAGACCTCCTGATAAAATAAAATATCTGTTGCGATCTGTAGCACCCACATCAGAACATTGGAATAGATTTATTCATTGCAACATGCAGTTTCTGAATCTTAATTTGTCAACTGTGACTACAGAACCAGAAGATAGAGTATAAAATTAACAAGCCTCAAGGGAGATTGGAGATTATGAGACTTTATTCTAAGATTCCAATGGCTAGCATTATGTCACTGAACTTCTTTTAAAAAACACAGCTGAATAAATATTAGGAACACTGCTGAAGGCTACAAAAGATTACAGAATGAGATGGCCAAATATTCCGTAGAACACAAAAGTGCCATCTATGGATTCCAACAGGTCAAAGCTGAATAAAGAAAAAATTAGCGTAGATACATAGTCTGGAGTTTGATTCTTTGTTTTTGGGGGTTAGGGAGAAAGAGTATAAGGTATTGGAAATCAGCAGGCTTGATGGGCTAAACAGCTTGTTCTCATTCCATGGTTCATTTTGTTCTTAAAGGTAAAGGTTTGCCAAACCTTTGTGTTAACAGCTAGTCAGGAAAGGTGGTTAAGGTCAGGGCACTGGACTCATTTAAAAAGCAACTTGATGCTGTGGTGGGAAGACGGTAGGCTGGGTATTCTGGAAAGATGAGTTCAGATGGACCGAAGAGCCCATCCAAACTAATCTGCAATCTTGTTGATGATAATATATTTCAAATGAATGGATCAAGATCAGAATCTATGGGAAATTTTCTGCCCAGACTGGGGAGATGTAGCATGGAAGTATATAAAATGGCTGTCCAGAATAGGAATGTATATTATTTATACAGTTACAAAGACAGACTGTCTAAAGGGTCTGAAGAAAGTAGCTCCGGACAGGAAAAACAGATGGGACTTGTAATATACTACTTGTAATATAGAGCAAATTATATGTGACTGAATCAAAGCATTTTGCTCAAAATTAAGCATTCCTGAGTGCATATTTGTCCTTGTTTAAGTATGTATTCATACTGTAATATTTTATTATTATGGCATTATATATTATGTAATGTGTCATGCTCTGGTACAACTCTTGGCAACTACAGTAAAACTTACATAAGTTGTATCAGTCGGGACCATAACATTTAATGATTTATTTGAACACCGAGTTGCAGGCCAACTTGGATAAATCATATAAAATCCAATCAATAATCTACACTGAGCATGTGATACTTTGTCACTGAAGGTGGTTAGTGCACATGCGATGATGGGTGAAGACGATGTTTCCCGCGATTCAGTGAGTTTTGACCTGTCACCACATAGACATTTACCAGCAAGTATAGGAAACGCTTTGAATTGCGGAAAATGAAGTTCTTCTACGCATGCATTGACAGATTAAGACTACCGTTTCCCGCGATTCAATGCAGCTGGCCAGTTTACCACATTTGTTTGAAGCATCTTATTAGCACTAAGAAATGCTTTGTTTTGCCCATTATGGCTGATGCATAATGCTCCTTCCCCTCAGGTGCCAAGATGCTGACTTTGTTGGAATGCAGAGGGCAAAATTGAAGTAGACAAATTACTGCTTCCCCAAATCCCAATTCCTCTTTCTCCAATGGCCAATCTAATCTGATCATTGCATAACAGTAATAAATATAGTATATTTTATTGGGGGAGGGGGAACAAGAACCCTAACCCAGGAGAAACTACAAGCACAACCAATATGGCGTTGTACATTCTGAGCTATTTTGTTCTGAGTAAATTCATTTTGTACCTGTAATAATGGGTTAGATGGGTGGTTTGACTCCATGGTGGAACACTTGGACCAGATGTTTTTTTTCCCCATTTTAAAAATAAACTGGAATCTTATCTTTTGAACATGAAGCAATTGAACAGCTATGTTCTGGCCCAACCATCTTAAGTTTTTAGCCATTCCTCGGGGGTTAGGGGGGGAACCCCCAAAAAGTAATTTAAATACATTTCAGAAACTATCTTAAAGTTGGGTTTAATATTGCTGCAGTAAATCAGGAGCAGGTGGTTACTACTGGCCAGTCATTACAACAGACATTAACCCTGTGAGTACTGAGAAGTAAATGGCATTTCACCAGTTGTCTGTTAGAACCTGATGCTAATAGGGAGAGCACACTTTTAAATTAGTGTAAAGCATGGGTGGAGGGTAAAAACTCATAATAAATTGATAGCAATTAAATAAAAAATGGCTCTTATAGTAAGAATTCAATGAATGAATAGCTGCCCCCCTACACCTTTTCTTTTCTTTTCAAGCCGTGCTGGACACCACTTGTATGAAAGTAAAAAAAGATTTAAGCCAATGTGATTTTCTGAAGAAACAAATGAAAAACAAGGAAGTGCTACTTAAAAGAAAACAAAATAACTATTCTACTATAAATATAATAATCCTTGCATTTGATATAGCGCCTTATCACATCTTCGAGACATCTCAAAGCATTTCACAGAATATACTGTAAAGTGAATTGACTCTTTATTTTGTGGGCGAAATATGGCAGCTAATTGCGCACAGCAGTGTCCCACAAACAGTTGTGGATTGAGTGACCAATTTATTATTATTATTTATTTTTTTGAAAAAATTATTACCCCCCTGAAAAGCAATCCGCCAATCAACTAAAAAACGGGTTCCTACTTACTGCTAGGTAAACAGAGGAGTGTGGAGTAAGGAAACATGCCCAACTTTTCCTTATTCCCTATATGTTCCCTATTTAATAATATATAGTGGCTATTTGGCCAGAGAGCCCAATTTCCTCACTAATACCATGCAAATGTGATCCTCATACAATAATACCCTAGCGGTTTGCTGGCCAGAGAGAGCCCATTTGTCCCCTAGTACCATGATGCCAATGAAGAGCCGCAATAAACATTAATCTACCCAGCTGAGTTCTTCCTTTGCCATCAGTCAACAAGGTCGGGACATTTATGTCTGTACTCTATGTTGAGCTATGTGGCCAATGCCTTACCTGACCCAGTGTAACTGTCAAGTGATCCATCTCCTGTTGTTGTGGCAGTGTCACTGCTGTTCATTGGCTCTGTTTTGACTGCAAGAAGAGACACTACATAGAAGAACAAGTACAAAAAAAGATTTAAGCCCTAGTTTTTCATACTGATTTGTACACTAAGTAGCTCCAGCATTGGTTTAAGGCCATATGGTTTATGGTTAGCATGCTACCAGTACTGGAACAACAGGTCCCTGAGCTCACCACCACATTAACTCATCACAGAGTGGTTCTGCCTCAAAACAGAAACTTTTTTTGTTAAAGAGAGTCTGGATCTTTATAAAACGTAAGATAATACAGTATCTGCTGTATATAGAAATTCCTTATATTTTACTGCAAATGATTCCCTATGGCAATGCTGCAGTAATTACATCAAAATGTGGTTAATATCTTCATGGAAGTGCACAGGTCCAAGTCACTAGAATTCTCCTGACAATGGTAAGAAACAGAAGTTGTCATTTTGTAACTTAAAATAAAATGCAAACAGTGTATCTTGTACAAAATAACAGATTGCAGATAGCAATTTCCAGACGGTGATCTAATCTAGGGTTTCAGATGATGTTTTTAAACCACTTAAGCTCTGCTCTTGCAGTTTAGGATATCATGCAAACCCTTGATTAGATTGCAACCTTGTAACTTACCCCCAGGTATCCATTATTGTTTATGTATAAATAGAACACACAACAGATAGTGATGGAACCACTAAAAATAAAATTCTTGTAACATCAGGCGAGTGATGCCACTCAGTGGTTTACTTTTCGTAAATCATCACTGCCCATCATGTATTTGCTATTTAAAGCTATGAGACCTTGACTGGGGACTGGATTTAGCAAACAACCATCTATTGCTGTGCTATTATAACACTGTAGAACCAGACAAGTTAATTAAATATGTATGGCACTAAAGACAACAATAAACTGAATCGCAAACTTCTATTTCTCTATGTATTAGCAAAGTCAACACACGCTGAAAACTTGTAAACCAATCAGTGTTAGATATAAATGCCAATGGGACAGGTTTAGTAAGTTAAAAAAGAAAGATTGGGAAACACTTGCATGCAATTTACAAGACTTAGCCAAGAGATGTGTCAAGAGACCAAAACATCTGAGTGCTGTGTTACTATATTAGTTGTGTATAAACAGATTCTTCATTAAAAGCTCCGCCACCATTTGGTACAGTAAAGGTATTCAGATACCAACTCAATAAAGCCAGAAACAGAACAACATTTTTATAAAATGGTACAAATGGAATACACCATCAATGAGATAACATTCCATAAGTGACCAGCTGATAACTCATGAGCTACATAGAAATCCTCATGACTGGAATAAATGGGATAATAAACCTTGCATTTAAATCGGATATTCCACTATTGTTCACTAAATATTTTATATTTATACACAAATTTCAATGTTCTTTCCAATTTCACAATGCGCCCTGAGATGTCACAGGAACATCCTCATGTTATTGTAGGTGGAGTTTAAGGCTAGGAGCATGGCTGGCTAAATTCTCATAAGATACTGCAGTTATATCAGAAAGTTATCTCAAATTGACCGAAGAAATGCTGACTTTTAAATGCAATTTGTTACCAGTGCTGCAATGTTCCATTAAGAGGGAATGAAAATATGAAGCAACATCATTACCATGACTTTTCATTTGCTTCAGTTCAGTTGTTACTGTGCAAGCCTAAGGGAAGGAAAATAGCCAACTTTTCGACCAGTGAGACTGCCTTTGCCCAGCAAAAAAAAATACTTCTTGCCGGTGACTCACTTGAGGGGTGATGGGTGGATTATGATAATTGGGTCACCACAGACTCCCAGTAAAAAATATAAAAACTTTGCCACTACTGTGCCCATTAAAAACTTTTAAAAAATAATTCATGTACTTTACAATGGCTCGTTCCAGCCATGTCAATTTACTGCAATTGCAGTGGTGGAGGGAAAGTGACCTCTGTATTTATTTATTTAAAATTTCTTCTGGCTCATATTTCAGTGCTGGGCCACTGCCTGCTGGTGGTTTTCCATATTTCAGAGGTTACTATATGTATACTAGTACCATGTTGATGTTTACAGGTAGCTCTGCTTAAGGTAATAATGTCATATGAGAATGTATAGGCCTTACCACCCAATCTTCTGAGCACCAGTGCTTCTTCATTTGAACTCAAGTTTCCACACTCCAGGTTATGGGTCTATTTAGCATGATCACATCATCAAATCTATGCATATCTTGTTTGACATTGCTGTCTAAAATAAAATACTGTACTGGAAAATAAGTCTAAGCAACAACATCGGGTTTGTCACAAATGTAAACCAAGCATCATCTTACCTTACAAATTTTATTGGAGATTCTGTGATAGATAAATGTTCTGACTCTCTTTTAAGGTGTTCAGGCAATATGAAGCGGAAACTTTCCCCATGTAATATTATTAGATTTTAGCTGAACATCATAGACCAAGATCAGAATGATTTCCGAGCAAAGTTGTTTTTCTACTATCCTAATAAAAGTTAATGAAGTGGGACAAATGGGCAATCTGAAAGTGGGTAAATATTTGGGAAATAGCAAATCACACCAAAAACAGGTGCAATATAAGAATAAATAAGGAAAAGGGAAAGACAAGTTTAAGGGCACTCTACTGGAAAACAGCAGAGTTCACTGAGCGAGATAAAAAGGGATCTAGCCCAGATTAATTATACGGAAATTGTGGCAAATAAAACAACATTTCAGCAGTGAGAAATATTTAAAGGTGGATAGGTTATAGGTTAAAACACATTGTTACAAAACATAAAGTGGGTAACTCAATTGCTAGCGTTCCATGGAAGAATAGAGAAATTAGATCAAAAATGAACCTTAAAAATTGACATATGAAAAACATAGGATTGATAATATGAAAGAAAAGTATAAAAAAGTATAGAAGGGAAACAAAAAGGGTGGTTAGGAAGTCTATTAATAATAAGCCTTAAATTTGATATAGCATCTTTCATGCTGGGAGAACATCCCGAAACGTTTTACAGACTATACTGTAAAGTGGAGTGACTGTGTTTTTTGCGGGTTAATGCTGCAGCTAATTTAAATACAACAACATCCCACAAACAGCCATTAAGTGAATGACCAATTATATTTGGCCAGGATACTGGGAGAAACTCCTTTCCCTTTTCACATAGCACCTTGGGATCTTTAACGTCTACTTGAACAAGCAAACGGGGCCTCAGTTTAACATTTCACCCGAAGGATGGCACCTCCAACAATAGAGTGTCAACTTAAGACAATACGAGTTCCAAGACCCGATGTGGGCTTGAACCCACAACCTCCTGACTCAGAGGTGAGAGTGTTACCAAATGAGCTAGCCTAACACTAAGAGCATTAAAAATATCCAGTGGCTGATATAGAGGGTTCGAAAGATTTTAGAAACATATTAAAATAATTATCAAAGAAATATTGAGACAACGTAGGATTGAAGGCATCGAATATATTACTGAGACTGAAGGAATGGTGCAGTTACTTGTTAAGTACTTTCCCTCAGTTTTCACAGGGAAGTGCTAAAGTGAACTGCTGAATTACCAAGGAAGGATGTTAAATAACTACCGGGGAGAATTATTCAAAAGGAAACTCAAACTGAAAAAATACATGGAATTCAAAGCAGAAACATCATCAAGCCCTGATGGTTAATGGATCCTAGAATGATTCTAGAGAAATAATAGTATAATGCATTTTGGGAGGAAGAACAAAGAAAGGAAATGAACCGTAAATGGTAATATCCTGAATGGAGTGGAATAGGAGAGAGACAGGAGGACAGGCACATATTTGTTTAAAGGTGTATAATTCTAGCCTGTACATATTGAAGTTGAAATTCCAGTTACCAAACTGATACTGGAGTAAAGCGAGAAAGAGGTCACATATACATTGGAGTATTCGTATCTGTTGCAGTGATTGTAGCCTTTTTCAGCACAAGACTCGGACTGGTTTAACAAGCAAAGCAAGTGATAATCACCCTTGGGACCCGTTTGCTGTACATAAGCATTCATTTCCATGGGAAATGACACTGGCAAACATGGAATCACTGGGGGAAAGTTTGTGACAAGAGAGTTGGTGTCTTGGGCCAGCTGCCCCTAGCTGAGAGAGCAGGTCTGTTTGGGTGCTATGGCAGACTTCCTAATGCTGCCAAAGGAAAACCTGGCTCAAGGCTACAGTGGGAGTCAATGTTACCAGTATCTTCAGGATGTCGTGCCTGCCAGTCCGGAGGTCTTTTCAACAGCAAAAGGTAATTAGAAAGGTTAGATCAGCAAAATATGATGCTGTAAATGGAATACACAATTATATATCTTCCTAGAAATAGGCGACAGCACAACATAGAAAGTTACAAATGTGCATGTTTTCTTCACAGAGTAAATTCCTGCACAACCTACTTCACGTAGAGCAAAAGTGGAGGGCCCAGGCCTGTCCAACAATTGACCTATAGGGCCAATAGGGCCTCCAATCTAATCAAAAAAGGAGAGGAGCAGTTTTAGATTCAGGAGCCAGGTTGGAGCCAGGGAGGCACGGGCACAAAATTGGGCACTGATGGAGGAGCATTGTTAAGTATATAAATATTGTGCATTTACAATATTGTATGCAGTGTTTGATGGGGAATTAGAATAACTACTTGGGAAAAATAATATTAAAAAGTACAAGGGAGAAAGAGAAGGGGAATGGGATTATGGCAGATAACTTCAGTGAGAAAGCTAGCAACCAACAAAGACCCAATGGGCTAAATGCCTCTCCCCTTACCACCACCATTAACTTTCTATGACTCTAAAGCAATCTGAAAATTTTATTTCCTTCAGCGTTTAAAACACATGTTCAATGCATAATATTTTTGTCTGCTAAAACTATATACGGCATACACAGATGGTATAATAAGAGAAAATTAAAATTAAATTTTTTGCTTGGTACTTACACAATTCTCTCCTGACTTTATTTATTTCATGAAGCAGGTGGGGACTAACCACAAGGTGTTTGATTCTCCCGCCCCCGTCCTTTTTATTCTAAGAACTAGATTCTAAGAACATTGAACTGGAGAATAGTTCAATGGCTCAATTCACTCTGGTCTATTTGCATTATTCCAGGTGTTTTGACAGTTCCTTTTCACTCTTACACCTGGATTTTGAAATTGCATATCATTAGGATAGCAATCAGGTTTCCCAGTTAGCAGCAAGTTCTGGCTGCATTTGTTTATCATAGTAGAAGTATTTGGCAGCTGGTATATTGCCTATCACGCTTAATGTGGAACACAAGGCATGCAAAGGCCAGGGCTGGACTTACCCTCATTCAGATTCTGTCACCACATGGAACCCCATCCAAACTCTTCAGGTGTGTATCATCTATCACGCAGCATTGCTAACTCCTGCTTTTGAAGCACAGGGAGAGCTCTGCACATCTATTCATGGAACTACAGTGGAGGTCAGGCATCCTGTTCATCGGCCTCTGCTGACAGCATTTTGTGATTGGCCACTAGGAGGCATGAGGCCTTCAGATTTCCCCTTTCCCTGTTGGGAAGCACCCAGACTTCACTCGGCAATTTTTCATTGATCACAAAACTAATCGGATCAAAAAGGCCCTTCTTATCCCTCCAGAACATCCACCCTACAATCCTCCCATGACAAGTTCAAGCTGCTTTTTTATATGAGTCCAGTCAACTGACCTCAACCTCCCTTCCTGGCAACCTGTTCCAATCATTAATTACCCTCTGGGTAAAGAAGAGTGTTCTGGTGTCTGTCCTGAATTTGCCTTTTAGAACTCTAGACCTATGTCCTCTTGTTCTACTGTCGCACTGCATCAAAAAGTTCTCTTCCTCAACCTACCCGATCTGTCCTTAAAATTCTCTGAACCTGTGCGCAACAGGTGTCAGGTTCGATCCCCAGTTATCCTTCCTTCCCTACATCCAGTCTCTGGCCAGAACCGCTTTCCTCCATCTCTGCCACATTGCCCATTTCTACCTCACTCCACAAGCTGCCGAAACCCTTGTCCATGCCTTCATCGCCTCTCGGCTGGACTACTCTAATGCCCTCCTCGCCATCTCCCCTCCTCCACTATTCACAAAATTCAACTCATCCAAAACTCCGCCACCCGCATTCTTCTGCCGCTGTGCCTTCAGCCACTATGGCCCGAAGCTAGGAACTCCCTCCCTGAATCCCTCATCTTGCCGCCTCTTTCCCCATTTTCAGGTTGCGCCTGAAGACGTTCGTCTTCAATCACGCCTATGGTCACCTTCTCCCTCCCCCTGGCTCAGCATCAGGCTCCACCATTGTTAAGCGCTCTGAGACTCCGCCCGGTGTGGAGGTCGCTACATAAATGTAAGTAGTTGTTGTTGTTCTGGATTTACTTTTTCAATCCTATTTAAATGTTACACCCCTCTGCATGGCTGGTACTGGTAACTCGCTGAGGGTAATGAGCTGGATGGATGCGTTTCATGCACACTGACAACGTATGCTTGTACATTTATAATTGAAAATCCTATTAACTGCATACAAGTGAGCTAAATCTACTGGCCATACCCATCATCCTTTTCATTGTTTGGAAAATCACAAAAGTATACCTTGGTGCTTCTACCCTGAGCCACATTTCACCCACTTTCCAACAAGCTGTTACTTCCTGAATTCTTCTAGTAACTTTCCATAAAAGTACACAATCTATTCAAACCCATAGGGTATTGAAATGAATTACACTGCTGTTGTTCTCAAAGTACTTTTAACCAGATTTCCCTAGTCTAAGGGAAAATGTAGAATGGGGTTATTACTGCAGCTGTGTAAAGTTGAATTGGAACATAGGAAAAGACAGAAGTAGTTAAGACTTTATTGCAAAAATAAATAAAATGGCATTTAAGGGACCTCAATGACAACAGGTTCCACTCCACACAAATAAAAATCAAGTCCATAAGCATTCTGTTAATAGCAAAGGCAAATGCTAAAATCTATTTGTCTTTGTAACAACACTTTAATAAAAGAAGCATTCAGAGTATGAAGAAGACAAAGGCACTGCACTCATATTTCACACTAACACACACATGCACTGTACCATAATCTGTCATACTTGATGCAGAGGAGGGGGTACTGCAACCCAGCAACCAGTCTGCTGTGTTTAATATAGTCATGGAGGTGTCTCCTGAAGAGGAAAAGTCAGAATCACATTCAGTTTCAATAATGCTGCTTGTGACAGTTGCCATTTATTTATATACAGTAATTCAGATTCCTGCACGTAAATGCTCAAAGGCATCAAATAAGTATGCTTTAAAGTAATGTAAACATTAAGTCCCATAACAGGGCCTCGTGGTTGAATAATAGCTTTTTTGGCAGAATGGATTGGTTTGAATAAATAACTTTTTTGAAGTACAAACATCACACTTCTTGGAATGCTGGACTCCACTCTGTGCTTTGTTTCAATCAAATCATCTTTTCTCTTTTATAATAATAATAATACTAATCCTTGCATTTGTTATGGTGCCTTTCACGTATCGGGAGGACGTCCCAAAGCACTTCATAGGATTTACTGTGAAATGGAGTGACTGTAATTGTAGGTGAACATGGCAGTCCAATTGCACAGAGCAATATCCCACGAACAGCTATGACACAAATGACAAATATTATATGGGGGTTGTTGATCAGGACACAGGGAGAAACTCCCTTCTCTTTTCAAATATTGTCATTTTTTTTTAATATCCACCTGAACAGTGAGAGGGGAACTTGGATTAACATCTCATCAGAAGGCCATTCACGGCCTTGCTCCCTCCTACCTCTCCGACCTACTATCCCCCTACTTACCTGCCCATAGCCTCTGTTCCTCTGGCTCTGGTCTGCTCCACATCTCCCGCACTAACCGCCCTACCATCGGTGGCCGGGCTTCAGCCTCTCAGCCCTCAGGCGCCTTGGGACGTCCTCCCGACGTGAAACGCGCTCTATAAATGGAATCTTGTTGTTGTTGTTGTAGGCTCTGGAACTCCATCCCCCAGTGCCTTCGCCTTGCTTCCTCCCTTTTCTCCTTCAAGGTCGGTCTCAAGACCTTTCTCTTTAACCGTGCCTTCAGCTTCTTTGACCGTGCCTTCAGCTCCCCTCTCGACTCTCTACCCCCTCCTCGCTCCCTCCCTCCCTCCCTTCCCTCCCCTCACCCTGACCATTTCCCCCCTGCTCGGGTCCAACCCAACTGTCCAGCACCTTGGGGCGTCCTCCCGACGTGAAAGGCGCTCTATAAATGCAATCTTGTTGTTGTTGTTGACGGTACCTCTTAACAAAGCTGCACTGCCCTGGCACCACAGTGGAAGCCACAGGCTTTGAATATACAACCTGGAATGTGGGACTTGAACCCACAACCTTCTGATGCAGAAGTAAGAGCGCTACTTCTGAGCCAGGATAACACACTCATCTTATAGTTCTGTCTAACATGTGGTCAGTCGCAAGCTATTCTTTTCTTGCAAGCAATAAAATGGCATTGTCGTTTGAAAAGAACTATTTCACATGGGTTGGCTTTTAATGTAAATTGCAGTAAAACTGCTCACTGGTTAACTATAAATTATTACAGTTACGTTTTTAAGAGTAAAGATTCAGTTAATGAATTATGATCTATATATCTTAACACACTGCATGAGGAATGACAGGACAGAAACAGTGATAAAGAACAATAGCAACTGTGTGTCATTCCAAACTCCTATTATCCACCCTGCACGTTCATGACATTAGATGTTTTAAATTTAAAACAAAGAAATAATTCAACATAGTTTAGGTAAACTGCAGAAATCATTGAAACCAAGTCTAAATATGATTTCAAAGTAACAGGACATTCTGCTTGATACTATCACCTGCTGAGATTCTGGCTTGTTGCATTTTAGTGAATCCAATAAACGTTTTTGCAACAATTTTTTTCTGCCTTTGGCAATTTATCAAGCAAAATGTTGAGACTTTGTATGAAACAAGACCCTTAAATCATTAATTGAAATGTAGTCTTGCAGCAGGTAGTTTTATACCCTTTCTACTCTTTCTACTATTTTAGAAATAAAATAGTTGGAAGACAACACTACATTTTGGATAGCAAAAAAATATTTTTTAGTTAAATTCAGTTAATCCAAGTACTAATGATTTGCAAGGAATACAATGTTCTCCATTTTGTAAGGTCTTTTTACTTTGGTACCTGAGTATATATTACTCCCAACATCTGAGCGCTAAAGTGTACAGCGGTTCTGTTTTACATCTCAGTCAAATTAGTATAGGTTTGGTCTCAGGATGAATTATGCATGACATGAGGTACACATATGTTGTGGTACAAATCAGCTGGCATGACATTCCTAGCTGCTACAAATCCAAAGAGTAAAGGATAGTGGGAATGCTTCTTTGTTCCATTCACAACATCAGAACAGGAAATTAGAATGACCTCTGAAGTCAAAAGTAAACAACATTAAATGAAAAGGAAAATAGAATTAAACTTCATAAATCAATGTCGTGTATTGGACATCAAGTCGACCGGACTCTTGCTTTCCTCTCAAAAGCGCTTTGAGACGTCCTCCGGGCAGGACAAGCATAATATAAATGTAATTTGCATTGTGTATTGTAAAATATAAAGGATAATTTAAATAAGTACTAATCTAAGATAGGTATATCCATCAACTATTGGAAAGAGCATGACCATTGATTTAAAAACAGCACAAGGATATACTTTTAGTTTCTGAAGGAGCTTTCCCACTCTTAAATTTACTCCTTTCCATGCATCACAAAAAGAGATCTTAAAGACACAAGAAGTAAAGCGAACATGAAAAAAGGGGGAAAGAGAGAAACAGAGGGTGTGAGTGTGCACTGAAAGACTGGAGAAAAACGATACAAAAAGCAAGCACAGATGTGCAAATAAACACAGAGGGATTAAACTTGAAGGAAGACTCAAACACAGAAACGTTGAGACAATAGAAAAAAGGATCAAGTTCAAGCTAGAGTGAATAGAATAAATAGATTCAGTAAAATGTAAATTATATACAATATCTGAAATCAGAGTGCTTTAGAGGAAAATAGGAACTTAAACCACACAAGATGTGCTAAAGAAAAATAGTACAAATTCTTATGTTACAATATTAAATAATGTCAGTTTCAAGGTTTTATCTTAGGCACAAAATTGCTGATAGACTTAGATCGACTTGATCCTCGAAGACCCATTACAGATTGTACATAGTCATTATAAATATCTTTGTGCTAAATAATAACACATTTTTACGTGGTCACTCTTTTTGTCTGAATCTAAACACAGAAAAATTTGGAGCGCAGTGGAAAAGAAACATGATTTTATTTCCTACAAGCTGATTAATTCACACAATTGACAATACACAGAATAACAGAGAACAGAAAGTGAGATAAAAGATTGGAATCAAAATGAGTTACGTGTGAAGATGGAACCTTATAAACAGTATCTGAACTCAAAGTGGTTCCATGTCGGGTTTGAACTTTTTTTTACTATTTATTGTGGGTTCTTGTAGTATGTGTCCCAGACAACCTTTAAAACATAACAATTTACATTGGTTTCTGAAACATTTCTGTAACATCCCAGATGAACAAGGTTAGAACAAAACCATAAAGTCTGAAGTCTGTACGCCTCAGTTTTTCTTAACATTCACTTTAATGTTGAAAACAAAATCAGAAAAGAGAACAAGTGACACAGGGGGATATCAGTACTTCTCTTTCGTCTCTTTGACTAAGAAAAAAGAAATGCAAGTTTCCCTTTGAGATAGTCTTACATAAAAAACGGAGGATTTTGCAAGTTGCAACAATAAAATATATGATTTGAGGTCCAGGTGCCTCATTTGCAGACAGATGTTCCCATCCTTTGATAAACTATACAGACAATATAACATTCCCATGGGAGTTACTTCACTATCTGATTCTTCCTTCAGTGCTGAAAGAAGTATTGGAAACTCCTCTCTATGGGTCAGAGCACAGGTCTTTAAACAGGAAAGCATTTCTTTGTTTCCCATGCACATGCCTTTCTGAATAAACACTGCAATAAGACAGAATTAACTATCGGTCAGTAATGGCAGGTAGATTTAGGCGACAATAAAGACTCCTATTTGCAGTGTTCAATTTGATGCATGTGATATTGGGAGTCAAAGTGAAATGGATGTAAATTAAATTGTAAACATAGGTGTGATTTTGACAAATGGAAGTGCGAGGGGCAGAATAAATAATGCATCTTGTTGGGACCATCATTGGTCATTTTCAACCAGATTTCTTCCGCTTTCTGCTTATTTGACTCTTTGATAGGTTTTGGATCCATAGAAATGTATGACAGAATAGGAGGCCTTTTGACCACCTTTTTATTTTAGTGTTTGCTTCTCAAAGAAGCTATCCTTCCTAATCCTAAATCCCTGCTCTTTCCCCACAGCCTTCAATACCTTTCCTATGCATATGTTTCCAATAATCTTCTAAATGTCCCCAATCAACCCTGTTCTTACAGCCGCCCCTAGCAAATCATTCTGACAACCCTGTGGGAAACTTTCTTCCAAAACTTCTCCTTTCACTCCCCCAGTCACAATTTTTAATTTGTGCCCTCTTATCCTGAAATCTTTCATGAGCAGGAAGAGTTTTCCATAATTAATTATTTGAAACCTTTTAATTATCTTAAACACCTCTACATTATCACCTCTCAATCTCCTCTACTCCAATGGAAAGAATTCTAACCACTCTAGCCGCTTCTCATAGCTGTACCTTTTATTTCTGGTATCATCCTCTCATGAATCTAAGTTGCACCTTTCCCATTGTTTTAAAATTCTTTCTGTAATGCGGAACCCAAAACTGCACACAATATTCCAATTGCAGCCTAACAAATATCTCCAAAATATTCGTCATCACTTGGTACCTTGCCCCAGTTGTCATACTTCATGTGTGAGCCAAGAGAGTGAATGTGGACACCCTATCTATGTGTAGAGACACCACACCCTGGACCAATCTTGTTATCGTCCAATGCCCACAAATAAGCATTTTCCAGTGGGAGGGGAGAGGTGTCATTGAATGTCAGTGAGGAACATGAATGTTGACTCAATCTCATCTCTAGGCCAATAAAATGCTAAGGTCCACAGCAGCACCCTGCTGTTTATTGGAAGGAAACAGGGGAATAGGAAATATGGAATAGGAACAATTATGACAAGGAAAAGTTTGAAGTATATTGACATTGTCCATCTACCTCATCAACATGAGTATAACATAACATAAGTCAAGTTTTCATAGTTTAACAGTCTTGCCTTCAAATCCAAAACAGACGTAGTAATAGGAAACACAACACAGGTACATGTCTAGATTTCAGGAAAACTGTCTGGGTATATATGGAGGGGGAGGAGAGTCCTGCATGAGTCACCAAATAATGCAATGATTGACCCCATGGCTCAATCCAAATGTAGAAACAAGGCAAATTCTTCATATTTGATGATAACAAATATACATTTGTTCACACACAAAGGTAAAAGATAGTTTATATGCAGTGAATTAAATGAGGGGGTAAAAATCAAACCACACAAAAATGTAGAAAAACAACCAACTCATACAGTCAAATATCAGTGGTAACCAACAGCACTCCCGTTATCTTACCTTTATGTCTATGTGGTTTTCCTTTTATAGCAGGGGAACATTTTCAAATTTGTAGAGGTTGTCAAAGGTCATGCTTTAGTTTATAGTTGCAATGCTTCAAACAGAACTACTGCCACTACCATCAACAGAAAGTCGTAACTATGGAAATATACATTGTGGCAGTATGTTCTAGAATAAATAATGTTATGGGAGAAATTATATAAGACATCAATACACTATAAACACTTTTGCAAATATGACTTATTTGTACAACTTTATCCATTTTTGGACATATGCAGGTTGAGCTGGAGACTGAGAAATGTGCACCCCCGTATCTTTGAAGCATCTAAAACAAAAAGCTGACATCTCTTGCACTTTACACTCAACCACCCACGAAGGACATGAACACACATCTCTGAACCGAGGAAGTAGGTGAAAATGTTTCCCCTATTTCTTTGTTATTCTCATGAAAAGAAAACTGGAAATAGCAAAGGACATTGAAAAGAAGCACTAGAGAATGTAAGCAAAAGGTAGAAATGTTGGAGAGTCACTTTCCACAACTCACCCGCTGTTCCATTTGATATGATTGAAGTGCTACTGAGGTTGGCCTTGTCCAGTTTGGAGCCAGCAGAGGTATCACTACTGCTCACTCGATTGTGCGGACTTGCTAATTCCTGCATTTCCATAGACCTGCCAGGACAGGAACATTACTTACATCATAGCCATGAATACAAATATTCAACTTACCACCATATCACTTTGAATAGTCCTCAATGCTTCAAAAACACACAGTGACTAAATAATGAAAATGGTAAGGTCAAAGAGCGACAATATAGAACAGAAATCACTGTATTTATTCAACTGAAATGAGAATAAAAAATGTTGACATTTTCCATCCTAACATTTTACATGAACCATCTCACAATCCCACCAATTTGTTAGCAGTCATTCACAAAAAAATTGTGAATTTTGTATGCTTATTTTATATAAGCATACAAAATTCACAATTTTTTTGAGCTGTCCCCTAATGTTACAAATCATGCGTTTTTTCAAACTACCACCAAAATGGTACATAAGTTGGAATCTATTTCCCATCCTAAAAATCCCTCCCCCAACCCATTAATTCAGAGCACAAGGACTCCTGGATCAGATGATCCCAGTTACTCTCAGGTTGCACTCTGTCAATCCAGATTGCAGGCTTTGAAAGCCATCTCCACACACACGTTTGCACTTGAATCCTATCTCACTGCTAACAGATTCTCGCTGCCCTTTCAGAAAAGGAGGGAGGACACTTTCCAGTGTCTATTTTACAGGTATGTATATTGAAAGAATACCAATTCCCCCATATGCTTTTTAAAAGCTCTCCCTGCCCCCTTACCAGTGCACATCCTCTTTGTGTGGCCCCATCATTAAAAATGATATGTTTTATACTTTTTTTCAAAATGTGTCACATTTCATTTGTGCGGTAGTTGGATGATAACAAATGTCTTTATTCCAAAGCACTTAGACGACATATAGTACTTTCTACAAGAAAGTATTGATTTCCACCTCAAATGATGTCATGCAATTGGTGTAATGCCCTTGAAAAATGCTAATTTGCAGTTAAAAGTTCAGCATTCCCACTAATACTTAGTAAATATTAGGTACGTGAAAAGTTTTTCTTTCTTTTCAATCTTTGTTCAACCACAAATAAACCACTGTCGAGCATTTTGTTAGCGGAATTAATGTTCTTTAGAAATCATTCCATTTCCTACATTCATTGAAATACAGATGTTTTTGAGAACAGTTTAGTGGTTTTACATGTTAAAATATTTTTTTAAAAAAATAACTTTTTGACAAATTAATACTCAACGTAAGATCATGGCAGAACATGAAAACACATTTTAATCAAAAAATAATAATCTCATCTGTTGTAATACTTTCTAATGTTGCTGAAACATTGCTGAAATATTTCAAAGCGCTTTACAGTATTTACTGTAAGCCAATTTGCACAGAGCAATGTCCCACAAACAGCCATGAAGTGAATGTCCAATGTTATCTGGGGATTTGTTGGCTGGGTCACCAGGAAAATTTGCTTCTCTTTTCAAATAGTGTCACGGGACCTCACTTCAACATCTCATCCAAAGGATTTTAAAACACGTCAATACTTCCAAAAGGATACCTCTTTGGAACATTTAGTTCTTCACTACCCAAATGTACAAGGCACACAAGGAGAACTACATAGCTCTATGAGCTGCCTGATCATATGTCACTCTGCATGAATACGGTTTAGGAAGCATACATTTGAGGGTCATGTTCGCATGCTTTCCTTACATCTATAAGTGACTCAAAATACACCCTCCTGATTGGAAGAAGACTTAAGAAATCTACACTAAGGAGCTGTCATTAGTTTATTACTATTTCTGGGACTATGTATAAAGTAAAAGAACCTAGGCCCTAATCTTGATAAAATTATAAATAAAAATCATTTCATTTGATATAGCACTTTATTGTTGAAGAATCTCAAAGTGCTTCAGAAAATTTACTATAAAATATAGTGACTGTATTTTTTAGGCAAATGTGGCAACCACATCGCACACAGTAATGTCCCACAAACATCTTTGAAATAAATGACCAATTTTTTTTCCAGAGATTAATCCCAGGAAACCAGGAGAAACTACATTCTCTTTTCAAATAGTGCCAACTGAACAGACATATGGGACCTCGATTGGACATCTCATCCAAATGAGAAAATATCTGCCAAGGCAGCATTCCGCCAGCACTGTACTAGAATGAGCTCAAAGTCTCGATGTGGAGCTTGAAACAAAATTCTTTTGACTCAGAGGTGAGACAGCTACCAAATAACCAGTTGGACACCAAACAGAAAAGAAAAATGCAAAAAGAAAAACTCTGAATATTGGAAATCTGAAGCCGCAAAATAGAAAATACCAGTAATCCATGATAAGAATTTGAACATTGAAAGCGAGTTTATGCAACCAAGGATCATGAAAAAAAAATTGGCCAAAGGTTGAGACTTAGATTTTGAATCTATTTTTCCACCTTTGAATTATTTATTATTTTGCATGTATGCACACCTCACAAGCAATTTATTTCAAAGCATCAAGTCAGAATTGTGCACATAAATCACATCTAAATAATCTCAGAGGAATAGATGGGATCTGTGAGCCTGGTCTGAAATGTAAATATGAACGAAGCTGATCCATCAGTTATAATGACCGATCTCTAAATCCAAATCATGTAAACTTTTACAGGCACTGTTTGCCAAAAGTGCTACTATGGCAAAGTCACTGCCAAGATCATCAAACTAAATATATTTTAAAACAAATGTTTTTAATGGCTGTTGAGTTCCACATGATTTTCAATTTCTATGCAATCATCATTTCTGGATTAAGGTTTAGAATTTAAATATATTGCTTCACAATAACTGATAGTTAATAGCAGATGGTCACAAATCAAAGTAGAATCTGCACCAGTTGAAGCAGAAATTGAGTACACTGCTCCATAATGTAATAATAGCACTTAATGTAGATCTCCCTTAATCAAAGCATGTGCTCAGGCACTATTTCCCTTCCTGACTCCACCACCAAAGACTAATGGCAGAAGTCACAATGAAGCCTCAGATGTGATGTTCAGGAAGAGGAATCTCCAGTTACTGTTTCCAGTTCAAATAGCAACTGACAGAGTGCATCATGCCGATCCATAGGAATTCTGCACCAACAAAATTTACTTCTGGAGCAGAGTTCCTTGGATTGGCATGATACACAGTTACCATGATCCACCATGATGTACCAACACAAGCTGATATTTGTTACTTAGAACTGCTATTTGTGCTTCTGAATATCTTGTTTCTGTTCCTGAAAATCACCCCCTGGATGTGCTAAACGTTACATTTTCCAATCCTGTATTGAAAATGATCATTTATGGTCTATAGCTGCTACCTGGTTTAAATCTTTAGTGCCTCAGTAGTATTGTGCAATGCAATATTTTTTCCAAACAAAGACAGAGATATTCCATTGTGTACAATAAAAATAATAAATAGTCCTTGCATTTGATACAGCACCTTTCCTGTCAGGAGGAAATCTCAAAGTGCTTTACTGGATATACTATAAAGTGAAGTGACTGTATATTTTTTGTTAGCGAAAGCAGCCGCTAATATGGGCACTCTCAGAGGTGAGAGTCTTACCACCTGAGCCAGGCTGGCACCTAATAAGGGAAATAAATTAATTATTTGTGGTTCAGTATGTCTATGGTTCTCTAACAGTCAAGAATGAATGCATTTTTCTTTAGTTTGGCACAGAAAAACATAGACCAGACTCCTATGATTGAACATCCACAGCTTTATTAACGGCTGGTGGAAGTGATTTGGTGAAGCTCAGACTTCGGTTTGAGCTCCCTTATAGTTTTACAATGATCCAATATAATGAAAGATTTTGATGCCAAAAAGGGTCAAATTGTCTATTACTCTAATTTTTCTTTCCTCCAGCTAAGAAAATGCTTTTACATTGCATTCTTTCTGCTGTACAGTCCTCTCTTGACATCTTTGCTGAGGTTAGGAGCACAACATGTGAGCAGTCGCGAGTACAACCCTTGTTGTTTCATTTTGTGCCACAGTATGTTGGGCACACCACAAACTAAGCCGCTGAGCTATCTATCCAACCAATCTCTCCCAATTTACTGCTCAGCTCAAAATGCTGTTATTTCTAGAACACTGGTATTCGACTGGAACAGTTTACGTTCAGGGCTGATACTTTTGGGCGGACATTTTGAAAACAAGTTCCTCAGATTATCCAGTTCATAGATCATTGCTCACAAGTAAGCCATTTTTGTAACGTTTTTGTTACGAGGCATTTTCATGCAAGTGCTCGATGTCTCCTTTACCATTTGTCTTCAGCTGAAAACGCACACAGCCGTGGGGTATGATTTTCCTATCTGACCTTCACTTCCCTCCTACTGGTAGGCCTTCATCCAGACTGGGCTGAGTGGTATTTGAATGTACATCTGTCCCCATTCTATGTGAACTACCGCAATACCTAGCTTGGCTCTTGCCAAACTGTGCCAAATAATAGGCAGAATTAGGTAATGTTAGTGAGTCCCTCCAAGAAGGGCATTCTATTCTAGACACGGGGAAAAATTACCATGTGTAGGTGGCATACATATGTGGATCTGTTTGGTTTGGATGCTCTTATGCATGATGATGAGTTTCCGCATGTGTCAAACACCCAGCTAACTCCCGCAAAAAAAATTGAGGAACATTTTGTCACATTTGGGTTTAAAATATTATCTTTAGGAAGTTGCTTCTTAATATTTTTATTTGATGTATTTAGCATACATTGAATCCATTTCATCGCTGTTTCATTGAGTCTAGCTGGAAACCTCTAAGTGGATAGAAGAACTCAAAGCACACATGACATGCATTGTTCATTCATCCCTTTCATGGATAAATGTATTTTGGCTAAGCATTGCTTTTTCTGAGAGGCATTATTAGCTTTAGTTACTAGCAATACTGGGATAATTTGGGTATTGTGTGTGCTTCAGAGACTCGGCACTACACTAAAATACAAGGCCGCAAGTTTAAAAGACATGCTCGCGGCACTAACACATTGTACAATGGATAGAAGGAGCATATATTAATTTGCATTTAGCCCTACATATTATTTTTAACTTTACCTTTACTTCAAGTCTAACTTTCAAACACTTTCTGTGCCTCTCAAATCCCACATCAAAATCATTGAAGGGAGCTTCTCCCGGCTTCCTGGCCAACAATCCACCCAAATAAATTTGGTCACTCACTCACTGTTGTGGGACACTGCTGAGCGCAAACTGGCTGCCGTATTTTGCCCACAAAATATACAGTCAATCCACTTTACAGTATATCCTGTGAAGAACCTTGAAACGTCTCGAAGATGTGATAAAGCGCTATATCAAATTCAAGGATTATTGTTATTATTATTGTCCTCTGAAAGGCTGAAAAATGGTTTTCAAAGTCAGGTTCCTCAGCAAATCAAAGTCTAGATGTCCAGTGATTGACAACAACCATGCCATTTATGCAGTGTCTTTCACTTTCAAAATAAACATTTCAAAATGCTTTACAAAATAATACAAAAATAACTTGTGAATCAAAGGTGAAACTTGTGACCTGTGGTCTGTTAATTAACACTGGTATTTATCACTTTGAAAAATACAGTCAGTAAACAACTAAAAATACAAACTAGTCTGGAGGAGTGAATCCTCTTTTGACTTCATCACAACGGTTGGGTCTGAAACCGGTCTATGGATAATGGCACTCGATGACCAGTTACCAGATAGCATCTTAACTCTCATTTGTTTTGTGGAGTTTAGGTAGTACCCTGCTAACTGACCAGCTAATCCAGCCTAATAGATAGGCATGTAGAATCATAGACATTTACCACAAGGTAGGAGATTGTTTGATTCATGGTGCCTGTGCTGGCTCTCTAAAGGTGATATCCATTTAGCCCTATTCACCTGCCAATGATCCAGTTTTATGGTTGTGACGTTGGGCCCTGCAACCTAATGAATCAACTATGACTACCAATTAGTGTCTAGGTCACTCACTAGAAGTCAAAAAAGGAACTCACACAGAGTTACGAAGAGGCGTACTACATAGACAATCTTGGAGTCCTTCCCATTTGTGTATTCCCAGTTTACGTTGGGGTTGTTAAAGTCCCCCATCATTGCTATCTTCTTTTTCTCTGTAATATAACCATAAAGTGACACATCCTTTTTCCTACTTTGGCCTAGCAGTTTGTAACAATCCTCAAATGTTAGTCGTGGTCTTTTGTCTTTGAGCACATCTAACAAGAGAATTTCATGCCATGATCGACCCTGGTTTGCTGGCTCAACTGCATTTGTTTTGTGCCAGTGGTTTAGTTACGTATAAACCATCATTGCCATAAATGTTTCATATATTTAAAAACTTTTAAACTTTTAACAAAAATCTCCAGGTATATACAAATTTAATTTCCTCCCCTACACACAACTTTCCTATCCAGTTAGTAAAGTTAATTTACCAGCAAATGGGGATTCAGCGAGCCCAAAATGAAGTCACACTACTCACAGCACACAGAGGAGATGCTTTCACTAAGCTGCTACATAAATGCACTAGGCTCACTGTTCTATAGAAAGCTCTCAGGCTGTATGATGGAGCAATGCAGCAACTTTCAGTGGGTCGAAAGTCAATGTTATTAAAGAGCTGATCGTACAAGCATCTCTTTAATAACATTAAAAAGGAAATATCTGATTTTGGTGCTCTGTGCAAGCACCAAGCAGCCTGTGGACCGACTTTACATCTGCATTGCACAAAAGCTGGGTGCTTGATTTTCTTTGGCTTCAATTTGATTTGGAGCAGCAAGGGTACATCAGAGGCTTCCCACTCCGCAAAGTAAAACTGCCAGGAGCAAAGGGGCTTAATTCCTGGCAGTATGAAGGCAGAATAAATAGAAGTGGGCTGCATTTTCTCACTGCCAGTATAAAGTTACTAAATTATCATTGTGCTCTGAGATACGCAGCAATTAACACAAAGAAACATGATGACTAGTATCTTAAGGGTTAATAATGACATAAAAGTAACTTCATCTAACAAGAATGAAATAACCTACAATGGTTGGGTCAATAAAATGATCTTTCTGCATTTTTTCCCTGTAGCTCCATCTATTTCTATATCCATTTATCCATTTATGTAACAAGAGATGGATGGATATAAAGCTGAGTCTTTACAAATAAACTGGTTTGCCCGGATCAGTACTCTAGTAGACTGCTTATTCAAAAAATGGCTAATCTGTAATATTAATACTGCAGCCCATTTAGTCACTCACATTGCAACTAAATCTGAATTCAAACAGTTTCTTATACAAAATATGAGAAACTGGTAATTCAGACAGGCAAAGTTCCCTTTAACACACTGACTACAGACAGCTGAACACAAGTGCTCTGGGACACTATCCTCCATGAGAGGCACTATATAAATGCAAGTTATTGTTGTTGTAGCTTGATATGCAAAAAATCTATGAAGAATTTAGGCACAATTTAGGCTAGATTCAACTTGAATCTAGCCTAAATTGTGCCTAAATTCTTCATAGATTTAGTGCATACCAACCTACAACAACAATAACTTGCATCTATATAGTGCCTCTCATCAAGTTTGATTCAAGTGGATCAAAAGTTCTGCATGATGAAATTCAATGGAAAATTCCTACTTGGGAATTCCTTGCTTGGATTTTAGATTGCTTAGATTATTTACATTGTTTAGATTATTGTAGATTGAGTAAATTGGGCTGAAATTGATGATGTTTCAATAATGTACTAATTGTCGCATCAAGCATATTTTTGAAATGTCGCTAAATTTGCCCCAACATTTGGCTCAACCTCTGTAAAATTCTAAATACAGCCCGTTGACATTATCAAGTGCTTCTGTAAAGTGTGAGCCTGCTTATAGTACGGATATACCATATAGCAGAAGTGGGGTACACTTGCCTCTTCCGGCGCTGCTTAGCCAGTTTCCTGCTGGAAAGGCTCGCAGGAGCGGGAGCTGATTTCCTCCACCCTGTGAGACGAGCAGTGATCTGATGCCCTAGAAGCGCAGACTGGCAGGCATTTTAATAATGTGGGGTTTGATTTTGCAGATCCAAACTATCATGTTATAACAAGGTCTGACTGCATATGAAAATGTCAGCTCAGTCATAGTGCAGTTCTAGCGGAGCACTGCATTATTTCCGATGAGATGCTAAACTGGTGATCCATCTGGCTGTTCAGGTAGATGCTAAATATCTCATGGGATTATCCAAAGGGGGAAGGCAGTTTCTCCTGGGCTCCTGGCCAACAATCCTTCAGATAAATTGACCATTCATTTCATGGCTATTTGCGGGACATTACTGTGTGCAAATTGACCACTGAATTTGCCTAAAAAAATACACAGTCACTTCACTTATCAGCAATTATATGTGAAGCATTTTGGAACATTTCAATGCAATAGGCACTGTATCAAACATGAATGCATAATACAAGGATCACAAAAATAACTTTCCACTTAGGTCTAAAGATGTCAAATTGATTTCATCCAATTACAGTTCTACAAACATGCCATGCAAAATTAAGACTGAAAGTTTAAACAACTTGGCGACTGTACAGGACGGTAAATTCCAGTGTTCTGATTTTCAATTGCATCTGTAGCTTGAATGCTTGCTCCCTATAGAGGCGAGAGTGCTGAGCAGGAAAAGGAATTTGCTGATATCGGCATGTCACTCCAAGAATTCTCTTGACAGAGTTCCCACACCCACTTTAATCATTTCCTTGCTGTAACACTCTCCATCTGCGACCATTCTTATGGTTGTTTATAGAAATGTTGAATTTGAATTTGTTAGTCACACAATGAGCAAACTCTCAAGCCATGAATTCGAGGCAATGCAGCAGCCTTTAACAGTACAGGTCAGCAAAATGAGAGAGCACAGAATTCTCAATTACCTGGAGTTCTGAGGCTCTGTAACATCTGAGTCCGGCTGTGTTTTCTTTACCTACAAGAAGAAGGGAGTTTATTAAACTCACCGAATAACTTAAGACAGCTAATCTAAACAAGCCATCATCATTGACACATAGAATATGGGTGATCATGTTATTCACCATGATCTCTGCAAGACACTTTCTAAAGCTTACAGCAGCAGTACATAATACTAAACAGTATGAATCATTATTGCACATGAACAGCTGCCAAGCACGCTTCCCCAGACTCATTAGAATGTGAAATGCATTTTTACATTGGTCAGGGAGCGCTCTGCCTAGAAACAAAGGAGCCAAAGAACCAAGTTCCAGCATCTAGAGTGGAAAATGATACTGTCTGCAGCTCACTGGAGCATCAAGTTCTGCCATGCCTTCTGATCTGCACTTGTCTGCCTCTTTTTTGGAACAGTTCTGACATTTAAATCTGGTAAAGCTGGTATTTCTCAGTGAACTCATTTTTGCCTTTCTCTGTAAAAAATCAAAGATGCAGAATTTTGCTTCTGCTCGTCAGTCTACAAACCAGTTCAGACCTTAAAATGAAAGTTTTAAAATGAAAGTTTTACTTCCTGTCTTATGATCTTGCTACATCTAATTCCTCTCCCCTAACTTGTAACTTTGTAACTTGTTTGGTATATGCACCTTTCATGAAAGTGTTCGCAGACTTTTCTTTAACAAGGTGCTTCTCATACAAATAAAATAGAGATGCAGATACCTCCCACCCTTATTAAAAAAGAGGAATGAATGTGTCTGTTTTTGTATCCAATATTTTCACTTCGCCCCTCCTCTGCTGAATGCAGTTAATGGCTCATGTAGAGATACGGTTCCTTAGACACCAACAAGCCTTCAGTATTTCACCTAAGTAGCCATTTTTCATGCAAGAGACTGGCCAGCAAGTGTCAGCACCCTACTTGACTGCAGACAGCATCACAGCTGAGCCTGATTCTGTTTTTCCCTGACATATCTATTCGCCAGTATAGGATGCTGGATAATGATCAGCCTGGAAGAATTGCCCCTCATTAACCCCAGAACACTGGGATCTAAATTGCGGGAATCCTAAAAGAATTCAGAACTAATGAATCCCAGATATGTTGTGAACGACCCTTTGCAGCTCTGCTGGGTATTGACTTCACAGGGGTTGGAACTGAGATTGACGTCTGAGTGGAGTTCCAGAGGGTCAGTGTGACATATCTATGATCTACAGATTACAATCCTTTCACGATTCCTGCAATTTAGACCCTATTGAGACGACCTTTGGAATTTTTATTCACATATTAAAGAAACTCGGAGCAATGGCTAATTCCATTCCAGAAAGATTCTCTCAAAGACCAGTAAAGATATACAGTAAACTGGTGAAAAAGTTAACAGTGCAGAGCGATTTGTTGAATATACAAATGGAAAAATACAAATGCCAAATTAAATGACCGAACAATTCTGTGTGGTTAATTAATCGATTAACAACAGTTTCTGTACATTTCATGTATCATATAACAGAATTGGAAAAGCAGGTCAAATTAAAAATTGATTCGCTAATCTATAATGTAAGTGGACTGACATAAATTAGTTAGAAAAGTAAATGTCTGTAGGTGTAACTTTTCTGGTACGATTTATAAATAAATGAACTCGAGAATTATCCAGAACTCTTTAACTGAACAGAGAAAAGTAGTAAACGGTCCATTGATGGTAAATAAATATGAGTTGTAATTTCTGAAGTGTATTCTTTTAGTGCAAACAGCACAGGTATTCAGAATAAAATATCTTTTGACATGCTATAAAAACAAATATCCATCAGTTAGATGTATTTTTCTAAGCTTCACCTTGCCAAGATTCTGTACTGTTTAGGCTTATAGTACTGTACTTCGTAATGCCTGGCAAACATTTTAGTCTCATGTGTATAATACCGTCTATGAGGGAACTACTGTAAACACACAACACTATACATACAAAAGTGCTATGATCACTTGACTAAATTATAACTGAAGTGTCAAAGTCTACAAGAAACTTCATTAATCCAGAAATACATCGTTGTAAAGCAATAAATAAAATACTTGGGAAAACATATCGTGATATTGAAGTATAAAATGTATTTTCTGTACAATGAAAGGTTATCATTTTCATCATGAGCAGGGTTCGACTGGAACACAATTCAACAGAGCAATCCATTAATCCAAGCAAAAGTAACACGTACCGTAACTTTACACTTCACGGACTAATTGGGATAATTTTGCAACAAAATAAAAAGTAAAACAAGGGTGCGATAGTTTATTCACACAACCTTTTAAATCTAGAACTGTTTCTGAATGGAGACAGTGGGCTTGAATTTCTTCCTAATGTCTTTGCTTTCTTGTTCTACTGTTCTACTGACCCTCCCCATCCCAGCTCAATTGTTCCACTTCTGATGAAGGGTCTCATCCCACCCTTTCTCTTTCAGATGGAGATTGACTATCTGCTCGACATTTCCAGCACTTTGTGTTTTTTATTTTTTTCATACGGAAACTGTGTTTGGTTTTGAGTGAGCCAGAATTTACAGCATTCAGACTGTTGACTTGGGGAGTCCCGGGTTCAGTTCCCAACTGAATACTAGCTGTACTCAGGCTTCCCCCAGAGCATACATTTCACCAGTCTCGGTCAGGATGTGTGTGGGAGGAAAGGAAAACTGTTGGGAGGGGGAGAGGGAGGTGATTTCCTGCTGGTTAGACCAAGGTGAAAAAGTGAAAGGCTCTGTGGCAAGGTCCACAGGCAACCCTGTCAGATGGCTGAGGAAGTTCATACATTTCCCTGAATTTGGTGTTGCAGTATTTCGCTTTCTAAAGGTACTGAATTGGTTTCAGATTCTGACAACTGTTCAGATCATTAAGAGCTACAGAGAAAGAGAGAAGCCTTGGAGTACTGGCTGTGCAAGCAATTAAGAGAGTCCCTGAGGTCCAGCAAATTGGGGTTAGAGCCACAAGTTTGGTCTCGTAAATTGCAACTTCAATTGGAAATCCCTGATAAACCAATGAGATGACATAAATATCCAATGAACACAGCTCCAAAACTATTGTGGGATATTTGGGGATTGTCGTAAAACAAGAATGTAGTTTACCTATTGGGAAGATTTGAGATTAAAAGACAAATTAATTTTAAATAATTGTGCCTGAATTTCATCATTAGGACTTCTCAAAATGTTACACAGGATTTTGCTGTAAAGTATGGTGACTATGTGTTTTGTAGGTGGATGCGGCAGCCAATTTGCACCCAGCAGCAGCCCACAAATAGCCATGAAGTGAAAAACAATTTTTTGGGGGATTTTTGGCCAGGACACTGGGAGAAACTCCCATTGCTTTTTGAATAGTGCTGTGGGATCTTTAATGTTCACCTGAAGAGGTAGACCAGGACTCGGTTTAACATCTCATCTGAAGAATGGCACCTCCTACAATGAAATACCCTCCAGCACTACACTGGAGCCAAGACTATGCAAGTTCAAAGCCCAGTTTGGGGATTTGCTAATCTAGATTGGATAAACATGTATACAACAACAACAAAATTACATTTGTATAGCTCCTTCCGTGTCGGGAGGATGTCCCAAGGCACTGGACATTTATTACCCAGCAGTATAGAATTATTGCTGGGTAATAAATAATAATAATCCTTGCAGTTGATATAGAACTTTATTATGTCTTCAAGATGTCTCAAAACGCATCAAAGAATATACTGTAAAGTGAATTGACTGTATATTTGGGGCAAAATGCGGCAGCCAATTTTGCACAGTAGTGCGCAACAGTCGTGGTTTGAGTGACCAAATTATTATTATTATTAATTTTTTAGGAGACTAGTACCCCTGGAAAAGTGATCCGCCAATCGACTAACAACCTGGTTCCTACATACTGCTAGGTAACCAGAGGAGTATGCATTAAGGGAACTTGCCCAATGGTTCACCCTGACTGGGAATGAACCCAGTCCCCTCACTTGTGAGGCAAGTGCTCTAAACACTAAGATACAGGACTCATAGTCAGTATCCCCGATAATGCTCAATAATGATGCGCAAGACTCCATTGCATCCGGTAATAACATGTTTGGGTGTCATATACAGTTTGGCTCAATTGGTAAGACTTTCACATCTGGGTCAGAAGATTGTGAATTCAATCCCCACGTAAGAACTTGAGCACTTAATAATAATAATAATCCTTGCAGTTGATATAGCGCTTTTCATGTTTTCTAGATGTCTCAAAGCGCTTCACAGAATAGACTGTAAAGTGAATTGACTGTATATTTGTGGGCGAAATGCGGCAGCCAATTACGCACAGCAGTGTCCCACAAACAGTTGTGGTTTGAAGTGACCAATTTATTATTGTTTTATTTTCTTGGGGGATTATTATCAGGCAGGTGGAGTAAGGGAACTTGCCCAAGGTTTCACCCTGCTGGGAATCAAACCCAGGTCTCTTGCTTGCAAAGAGTTTAGACTTAGTCTGAACTGATGCTCCAATGAAGTAATGGGCGAAGTACTGCATTGTCAGAAGTGCCATCTTTCAGAGCAGACGTTTAATAGAGCTCTGTTTGTTCAGGTGCATATTATATATCCCATGACCCTAAAGAGTAGAAAGTTTGTCCTGGCCAACAATTCACCAGAATAATTTACTATAATTAATTTACTGTAGGTCACGGGGTCATTGGTGCAAATTGTTGCTGTACTTGCCTACAAAGATAGTCACTACATTTGACAATAATTAATCTGAAGCACTTTGAGATGTTTGAATATGATAAAGCACTATAAAATATAAGTTCTTTCTTTCATACACTGTTAAGTGGAAACTGGATTGCACAGGAAATTCAGACTGCTCTGGTTTCCAACAAGCAATATAAATGAGCTGTTAAACTTCCAGGGGTGGAAGGGAATTCCTAAATCCCCACATTGCTTTACTGTCCTACTGTACTGTGAAACCATTACTTGTTTTCCTTTTCCTGTTTATTACAGTATAATGTATCCCCTCAATTCAAATTCAATGTCATATTATGTACTACCTCAAGATGGCTCCCCTAA